CTGTTTGTGCTTACTTCACAGCACACAGGGATCAGGCAAAAGGAAGACCATGGATTACTGTCATAGGGCTACAGTAGTCTTACCTAGTCAGGAGGCATAGGTCAGTCAATGCCTCAGGTGCCACCAGGTCAGATACACAGGGCTTCCACTACAGAATGGGAGCAAGTAATATTTCTCAGCAGAAAGGAAGAAGATCTTGAGGCCTCTGAAGAAAATGAAATGTTAGTTCCTTCTGCCCTATGAGTTATTTGGTCCATAATAATGATAATAATAAAGTTGGAGGATAATCTTGGCTTATTTTTATTTTGATCTTCTAGGTAACTAAAAAATCGTTCAGAATTCTAATACAAAATTCAAGCAGTGACATAAATGTGGCCTGTTTTCAGTGTGATGAGCTTAAATTCTACATTTCTGATGTAAAATATTCAATAAAATCCATCCTACCAATTAGAATTTCAAAAGAGGAGATGTTCAGGGAAAAGTAGCTGCTCTGCTTTGTAACTTTTGTTGGCTAATCAATATCTCTCTCCCATCTTTTCTATGTGGTCTTTTAAGACAGGAAAGCAACTAAACAATTTATAGAGAGCCATTAAGTATTTTAGGTTTTTAAACATTGCTAAAGCAGCCAACCATCTTCAGTGGAGGAAAGATAGCATCTTCAATAAATTCTGTTAGAAAAATGGGATTTCAACCTCTCAAAGATTAAAACTAGAACCCATCTTTCACCATGCACTAAACTAAAATCAAAATAGATTAAAGATCTAAATATTAAAACAGAAACACTAAACTTGCTGGAAGATAGGTAGAACTCTCAAAGATATTATGAACATTATAGAAAAAGACTTTATGAACAAATCCTCAGTAGCATGGAAACTAGCCCAAAGAATCAACAACTGGGATCTCATCTTATTAAAAAGCTTCTGCACTGCAAGAGAAACCACCAACAGAGCTAAGAGACAACCTACAATATGTGGAAAAATTTTTGACAACTTTTCCTCAGACAAAGGTCTACTAACTATAATATATAAAGAACTCAAAAAAATCAGGCCCTGCAAATATAAAGAGCCAATTAAAAAATGGGCATTTAAAATGAACAGACATTTATCAAACAAACAAGTAAAAGAATCAAGTAAATATGTGAAAAAATATTCAACATCACTGGTTATTCAAGAAATGCAGATGAAAACAATGCTGAGATGCCAACTCACCCCAGAAAGAATGGCTGCTATGAAAGTCAACCAATAACAGATGCTGGTAAGGTGTGGAGAGAAAGAAACCCTTCTCCATTGTTGGTGGGAGTGCAGACTGGTGCAAACACTGTGGAAATCAATATGGAGATACCTCAAAGAACTAGGATTAGAGGTTCCGTTTGACCCAGCTATCCTCTGCTGGGTTCCTCTGCAAAAGAATTAAAAGAACCATATCACAGTGATATATGCATACTCATGTTTATAGCGGCACAGTTTGTAATAGGTAAAGCTTGCAAACAGCCCAGTTGTCCATCAACTGAAGACTGGAAAAAGAAGATATGGTTTTTCTATAAAATGTAGTGCTAGTCAGCCATAAAGAATGAGAAACTCAAGACATTTATAGCTAAGTGGATGTATACTGAGGCCATAGTTGTAAGTGAAATAAATAGGACACACACACACATGTAAAGACTGAATAGTTTCTCTGGTGTGAAAAACTAGAAGTTTAAATAAGGTCAAATTGTATAATTTGATAATGTGAAATAAGAAGAAAAGGTCTAAAGGTGCAGGGGAAGTGGGAAGGGGAGGGGAGGGGAAAGAAGGAAAAAGAAAAAAATACGAGAAAAGGAAAAAAGGGAAACAAAGCCTTTGTAAATAGGGAAGGGTGGAGGGGGTGAAGGGAGGGCAGGGGTATGGGGAAAAAATAAAAACCAAGACACACCATGTCTTTACGAGATCCCAATGATGAATGTAACTGTACTGTATACCTAAAAAGTACCAATAAACTTAATGAACAAAAACACTGCTAATTGTGAGACCTGTTACAAGTTTCTAGCAACATATCAAATGCTAACAATAAGTATGATTCCTTCTCTGCCTCCTCTGACTTTATCACTGGGGCTCATGTACACACACACACACACACACACACACACACTTAAACATGGGCCACACAATGCACATAGTCATATACATACTCATACAACAAAGAAAATGCTTTCTTTGTAAGCTTTTTCTTATGTAGCATACATTTTGTGTGTCGGATATGTAGTTGTGTGAATAGAAGTGATTAACTTATAATTCCTAAATGAAAAGATGTTGTCAAGCTCATGGAGATTCTCTGGTACTTCAAAACATAGCCAAGAAGAAAAGTAGCCAGGTCTAAAAGTAATTTGGTCTAAAATGTAGACCTAATAAGATCAATAATGGGTAAATATCTCGAGTATCATGTGCTATTCTCTTTAACATAGAGCCTGATTTAGCAATATTGAGTCTAAAACCAAGTAGAGTTTTAATCTTGATTGGGTCATTGTTAAAGCTAACATTGAGCATGTATTAATTGATACTTTCTTGCTAAACATTTTGAAATTCGAGTTCACTGAATTCTCTCAGTGGCCACGTGATGAAGCTGGTAGTATCATCTCCATGTTCATGAAAAAAATGCTACAGTATTTAAAGACTTCTTCACAGCAGAGGTTCCTTATACTCCGAAGCCTAAAATCTGAGCAACTTGTCATTCTTTGTTTCATGAATCAGTTTTTGGTTTTATAATTTTCACCAATATATAAAAACTGGTTATTCTAACACATCATTATCTCTTTGTGGATTGGCCAGTGTTGTGGCCTGTGTCTAAATGTTTCCCCAAAACCTCATATAGCCTTTTTTGCAGGTAGCTAAATCTGGAATGCGTGATGCTAGGGTTAAGGGAGTGATTAATAAACTACTACACAGGAGTGATTGATCTGGCACCACTCTAATCCTGGCAGTCTGATTAAGATAAAAGAAGCAGACGCTGTTGAGGTACCTTGTTACCTTTGCTACCCTGTGGGCGCCATGTTGTTTCTCCTCTGTGATGCCTGTTTGCCATCCCTATCTTGGAGCCAGCCAATTATGGATTGAAACCTCTATAAACCGCGAGCTAAATAAAACCTTTCCCCTTTAACCTTTGGCGCTGGGTATTTTGTCTCAACAATGGGAGAAAAGTAACTAACACGGCCAGATTACTAGTTCTAAGAAGTAGCATTCATTTGTGTTTGTGTAATTTTCACATGTGTATGTATATATGTGTGTATTTCTATTACTCATATAATTTATCTCAAGATCTGTTTTTAAGAAGCGTGGCATGTGCTGAATGAAACAAATATTACATTGTTAAATTCCAAGAGAGAACATAATGTTTAACAGTTGCTAGGCACAATGGGACAGTTTTATTCTCTCCCAGCTTATTAGAGTAATGCTGTTTATTGTTTGCCTGTGCCAACTATTTCAGATGGCTTTGAATACTTACTTGGTAAATGCTTTACTGAAGTAGTTATCAAGTTCTCCCACTCCTGAGGCCACCAAATTTTTATCTCTCAACATGAAATAACAGTGAACTGAATGTTGCTCAAATCAGCATCTGAGAGGGAGGAGAAAGGTCACTTCTGAATGGAATCAAGTTCTGACTACTTTGCAAAAAAGGAAGCAGGTCGAACTGTAAGTCACGCACTGCTGATTGAACGTGTGGGAACAAGAAAGACAGGAAGACTATAGAATGATGGAGAAAGCTGTGCGCCTGCCATTGTCATAAAGCTGTCTTTGTAATCAAAGGAAAAAAACAAACTATTGGATGTCACCCAAAGTCGGCTGTAACAACTGTCTATTCATACGTCTTGGAGGGTTATCTGTGGCTTTTTTTAGTTGAATGGTTTCGTGACAACAATTTTCCCTTTAGGAATGATAAGTTAATCTTTCCAGAGTTAGGCAGTTAGTCTCACTTCAGTTTGGAGGTCTTCAGTTCCGTGTGGAATGACTGGAGTGCGGCCAGGTCTGACCTGGATGGGCGAGATGAGGGCATTGCCAAGGCAGAGTCATCATCGGGTATCCATTTCCTTCTTCTTTTCTCAGCCAGAATGGTAATGCCTGCCACTCACTCCTTCACAGCTGAGATTCTCAATTTCTTGTACTTTATTTCTTCTGTCCACTGATGAACTTGGTTTTCAAAGTATTACACAAATGCACAATTATGACCAAAATCCCACAAAAGGTATGAGCTTCTTAGTGTCCTTTGCAAAGGCCTGGGAAGCAGGCAGCCATGCATATACAGTTACACTACTGAGAGAGACAATTTTGCTGTTGCAGGAGTATAATTCTGGATCCTCAAAGATTGATTCAAAATAATCTCTAGCCATGCTGGGTATTCATAATTCCCATGCTCGATCTACTCCATGCCTCTTAGCCCTGGGAATCTAAGTGATCCAAGATTACTTAGCCTTTTCTTTGTTCCGACTATGCCTTCTCAGGGCAGCTACCCATGCCTCGCCCTGGCCACTACTTCTCAGCCTCTTACTTCTAGAAACTAGTGACGTTAATCAGCATTTACTCTATAATGTGAATCTTTATTCCATTTATATTTTCTATCTTTCAGCTTCTCTGTGTGTGTTTTCATCACACAGACATGGTAGGAGGGCCAATTATACTTGAAGTATTCCTAAAGAGCCTATACCTCAATATTTTTGATAGATTTTAAAATAAGGACACATAATTGAGTGCTTATTTTAAAACAAAATATTAGTGGAAAGGTTTTGTTTTTGTAGTTCTTTTTCACTTGGAGAGAGTGCAGGAGGAAATGGATCTTTTGTTCAACCATTTAGGTATATGTATCTGTATTGGTCATTTTCTATGTTTATGATTCAAGTACTATGTTTAAATAAGATGTATGATCTTTTTATAATAAGGAATAATTTCATAACTATCAGTGTAATAAACATTAGAGTAAAGAAGAGAAGAAAAACAGTATGTTGTGGGGATTTTCAAGAAAGGTTGATAATAATAACTTCTTGACCTTTTGGCTAAGATTAAAATGTGGTGTTCTTATCAGTTTAGTATCTGATGCATCCTCTGTCCAAGGACAATATACTAAACGGGCGTTAGAAGCTGGGAGATGGAATAGGAGCTTGCTCCATGTACTCTGAACATCGAACTGGAGTTGCAGCGCTGGTAAAAGTGTAACCCAAAGGGGATAAGTGGTGCTTAAAAGATAGCAAGGGCCGGGAGTGGTGGTGCATGCATAAGGCTGAGGCAGGAGGATCACCATGAGTTTGAGGGCAACCTGGGAAACATAGTGAGTTCAAGACCAGCCAGAATTACAGAGCAAGACTCTCTCTAGCAAGGAAAGAAGGTTGAAAAGCTGGAAACTATTTAGAAAATTAGTTAATCGTATTTAAGACATTTATATATTGAAATAAAATGTATTGTTTCTGTACTGAAGAAGCAAGATTCCACAGAGTTTAAAAGAAAACCACTTTGTCCTTTTCCTCTGAGTTAATTAGTTTTCCCTATTCCTTGGATAAAACCCAAGAGAGGGGTCATGGGTTTTCTTGTATTCTGACTTTAAAATATCTACTACTTATCTTTAGTTTTGATATGACTTCAATTATTAAAGTGATAATTTCCACAGCCTACACTGTAAACTATGGGTACAATTAAAGATATTTCTTTTTCTATGAGGAATCCAGAGACTTCCAATGAGAAAAGTATGGTTGATTCTCTCCCTTCCCACATTCTGTTCTTCCCTTCCAATTTCTTAGCCAAGATTTCTCAAACACCCATAGGAGTGTGGGGGAAAGAGACGTAAGAAACTGGACTGTTGTTACTTTATGGGTATTTTTATGCCACAGCACTGGACTCTTTCTGAGTAAGTGGGAACTCTTTGGTGGTGTTTGGTTGATCTCCATGGGATCTCGAGCGCTGTAGTCCTCAGACACAGGCACCACACCGTCCCACCACCTCCTGTCTCCGATAGTGTCCCATAGCCTCTGACTGATAAAATCCCTGCACTCTCCAGCCCAGTACCTTCTCCGCAGGGACTACAGAGAGCCTCATACGTTGTCACCACTCCACACGGAGGCATGTAGATGCCTCCATCGCCATCTTCATTTTCTCCTGTCACAAATGGTTACTGTGTTAAGTGGATTACAAATTTCAGTTCCTGTGAGCAGTCATGTTCCATGAAATACACGCCAAATGCCACCAGGTCCTTTCAAAGCCCTCTCATGTCTTTTGTTTTTTTTAACATTTTAAGTTAATTGTATTGATACATGTAAGGCATACCATATAATGACATTCATCTTTCACATAATCCTTTACGTAATCCATCTTGGCTCTTATTTTTCCCCCCTTCCCTTTTCCCCTGCCCTCCCTCCAACCCCTCCTTCCCACCCTATCTACAAAGACTTTTTTCCATTTTTTCATTTTCTCATATTAATCCCATTCTCTTGAGCTAAAAGAAAAGCACTTTATTTCTTTTTCTCATACCAGGTAAACAATCTAGAATTTAGAAGCTTTCTATAATAAAATATTCTCTTTTATTTCTTCAGACTTCTATAAATTAGTCTATTTTATATCAGTGTAAGAGTGCATGTTTATTTGAGTGTAGAGTTTTCAGATAATTTTCTTCCTTGTCCCTTTCTGTATTTTCCAAATTTTCTGGAATATATGTCAGCTTTTAAATGTTCCCTAAAGAAAAACTGATTAATATGGGTTCCACATATTTTAAACATCCACCTTCACAAAGGCAGGCAATAGTTTCTTACTACAAGACGTAATGGTTTTGCCAGCTCGTTTAAGACATGTAATACTTTTGAAATGCTGTTGTTATCAAAGTTATAACATGATAACATGAAGAGTAATGTAAAGATATATTTATTGATTTTTCCTTATGTATACAGATGTAAGAAAATCTGAGACAAATTTATAAATTCAGCTAGCAGTGAAAAATAAATATGTGATTTATGTTTGTCAGTCATAAATTACTGAGTTATGGAAAACCGAAAATGTTTGATATTGAAATTTTTAAATGCCAAGTCTAATATCACTAAATGCTTTGCTGTTAACCATTTTTTATTACATATACACTAGTGATTTTCAAACTGTGAGCCTTGACCTAGCATCATCATCACCTTGAAATTTGTGAGAACTGTAAATTCTGGGGTCCCACCTCAGACTTACTGAATTGCAAACTCCAAGAATAGAACCTAAAAATCTGTTACAATAAGCTCCCTAGATCCAGTTTCTGATGAAAAATGAACTTGAGAATCATTAAACTAGAAAAGACAAAGTTTGAAGTATCTATGATAATTCAGTCTGCCCTGAGAAAGAATAGGGAATTGTGTTTTATATTTTGATGGATCAAAGCAGGAAGTCAATATTCTTTCTATACAAATGGAAGTGCTACATGAAAGATGAAAACAGATATTTATCAGAGCAAAGATTGGTGAACTCGTATATTGTATAACTCCAAGTTCTAAGAAATCTTCTTAACTACAAACCTCTCCAGTATTCATCTATAGTAATAGACAATGGCAACTCACTTCAAACATAAAGTTGTCTGAGGATATTCTTTATGAAACTAGGCATATTTTAACTAAATTAAGGCATTTGTGAGGTGAGAAAAAATATATATGAAGGGATGATTTGGTCTTCTGAGCTGCTGATCTCCATATGAGATGAGACATTATTGGAGGAAGTTGTTAAAGAAGAGAACCTGGAAGAGAAAAGCCTAGAATTGGCCTCCCACAAGTCCTCCTTCTGTTTCTGGAAAAGGGCATGAATCTGGTCAGGAATTTAGAGTTGAGGAATAAAAGGACACAAGGAAAGTGAAACTATTCCATCAATGGGGACTGTAGAAGAGACACTAAGTTCACTAAGTAAAATGTTCAGCATTTTGGTGGCTCTATGACAGTGTGGAAATCAAAAATTGTTTTAAATAGGCTTAAAATCCAAAGGTAAACAATGAAGACAACTCATGGAGAAATTGCACCAGGCCAGCCATATTCTTTTGCCATCTTTATTTATTTCTCACCCCATCTTATGACTTTTAATATTCTGATGTTCAAAAATGTGTCTGTGTGAAATGTGTAGCTCCTGGTAGAGGCAGATGTCACGCTACCTACAACTGATGAAGGTATTTGAGAGTCTGGAGATGCTTGGAGTCCCTGTGAAAGATCAAAGTCTTCGTTGTATTTCTGGCCCCATTCTAGAACAAAGATAAAAGAAAATGAAGCTTTTAAGATGGTTTTCTTGACTTCTTTCCATCTTCCTTTGGCCCGTAGGGCTATTTGGGAAAATAGATTGATACAAATCAGAGTGAGGTTTCTAATATCTCCTTGCTTTCTCCAATGTTACTAATGATGAGGAAGCACACACGACACCAGGAATATTGATAATTTTATGGTATTCTCAATAGTCAGTGTTATGTTATGCTAAGGAAAAATACCAGTTTTTGTTTGTTTAGTTTTGTTTGGTCTGGTGCCAAGATTCAATCAAAGCCCACCTACCTGCTGAAAAAAATGTTCTACCACTGAGCTATATGCTCCCAGCCCAAAAGTAGTAATTGTTTTGTCCTTAGGGTTGTGCAACTATATGCCAAACTCCAGTAATATTTGTTCAACTTTAGAGGTTCTTGGAAAGGAGGAGGATAACATATTTTTACTAATGAAAAGAAGGATTTTGGCAAAATAGGAACACATGGGACAGTTCAAAGCATGGAAGAATTATGTAAAGTTTACCAGGAGTTGTTCAGTGTTGAATGGCAGAAAAGACATTGAAAGCTTTAATAAAAGCTTATCTATAATACTTCACCATCAAAATGCCAGAGGCTGGATGGAAAGATATTTTCAACCCAGAGGTTATTTAAGAGCCATATTTAAGAATTTGAGAGCATAGTCTGGTCTGGAAAAGAAGGTAAATGTATCAAGTTCTCAGATAATTGGTGAACTCTGTTACTTATACAAGGAGTAGGTTTTCCTCAGTGTTTCCTAAAATTGCTGCCTGGTATCTTGTGGAGCCAAGAGGGGGAAAAACATGAAAAAAAAAAGCAAATGCTTTCCTTATTATTTTTTCTTTCCCACACAGAATCAACTTGCAGATTACATAAATCACAAAATATAATTCCAGTATTTCAGCCAGAAACTTTCCCATCTGACCAAAGACAATTGCAAATATGCTAAACTTGCTTTAATGAAAAGTCATTCTTTACATAGCTCACATTGGACATAGGATGACAAGTCACTTATCAGATAAAGAGTCTTTGTCTGTATTAAACAATAAGCCAGCTCTTCCACAAAAAATTACCATTTTATTCTGAACTGAATGCATTTTCAACTATGCAGTATTCAAGACAAAAACCGAAAGAGGCCCATCTGGTAAGAAGTCCAAAAGCCCATTGTGTGGTGTGTCAGTTCAGTCTGCTATAGAAATGATGACTCTCAAACTGTTTACAATTTGTAAGGGCAGACCTTGAGAATTATGTCAACCTCTATTGAATAACTTCTGTTAAATGTGTGATTAAGAATCTACTTTACCCTGAGCTCCTCCAAAATGTACTAAGGGCCCTCATATAGGCACATTATGATGGTTAATTGTCCTAGGCTAAATGCCTATACCTCATCAACTCAAACACACTGAACATTTGTTTCCATTATTAACAGAGACTCTCTTGCCCTGGGATTAAAGGAGCAATATAAATTTATATGACGATTTGGGGAGTGTCAGGCTAGGTCCAAGGATAAATGCTGACTGAACAAGGCTAAGAGGACCTAGATTGTGAACTATGACATCATTGTGTAAATGTGGCTGTGCACCTTCTGTATAGAGTGAAAAGTCACTAAGGTTAGATCCTGAGTGTTAAGTCAAAATGAGGTGATGAAGTGCGTCAGTTACTTCACGGTAGATATGCAAGTTATGTAATGCGTAATAATTATAGCATATTTTTAATTATGCTTACTGGTGTTTTTTTCTCAATTAATCATCACAGATTATTAGTAAAATTATCCATTCCCTAGTTAACTAAAATTTAATTTTCTTTCTTTAAAAATGTCTTCCGGCCATGTTATAGGAAAGTAACTGAAAAAGCACCTTTGTCTACCATTTTCAGGCCCTCTTCCTAGTCTTCTCTTTTCAATAATGGCAGCAATGGGATGAAATACAACTACTAATTTTATTCAGTAAGGAAAAG